TCGAAACGTCGCGATCTACATCTCAAGTGACTACATCGTGAGACAAACGATAATACACTTTATTAAGGTTGCTTTAGTCTTACAGAAGTCAGTTACAGCTTTATTCAGCCGCAGACACTTGAAATAACTCTAGTCTAAAAGAAGCCGTTAAAACGAAACAGCAGGAAGCTAGGTAAACCTACCTGTAAGAACCACAATATGGCACTCACCAAACGCTCCTTGTGACACTGGGTTTTCAGCAAAGAATTCCATTCTGTGAGGCGATGTGACTTCTTCGTCCGGCTCATTGTTACAACCAATGCAGCCTTAGCAGTCTCTTTCAATTGTCTCCCTGAAAGAGACCACAATCTTCATATCTAGCCAAACTTTCCCGATTTAGTGGCATTTAAACTTGTGAAATTGCAAATCTGTAGCAAAAGAAACTAGGAAAGTGTTAATAAGTTGCTCTATACTCCGTGGCATCAACAACTTAAATTTAGTCTGAGGAAACTCTAGATATCTAGTTGGCCCTTCTGTTTTTACCGTCCTAGTGACTTTGTAATTCGTAATTACAAAGTTATTCGTTATTCGGAATAAGAAGAAGAATTTCAGTGGCACATTTTAAGTTTTGCTAACAAACCTGTGAACCGCTGTGAAGAGTTTGGAGTTTCGAATTTAACAATAGTTTTATGTACAAGTATATAAGAAACGTTTCAAAACACAACGGTGGTTTCTGTGCAAATTTCAGTTGCCTAAGGTGGTTTATTTCAAAGTATGCTCTTTGAATTCAGATGTTTCAGTAGTTTCAGTTGCCTCAGAAAAAAGAATTGGTTAAACTGTTCCTGTTCCACTGCGGGACAAATTCCTGAATACAGGCGTGTTCATGATTTTCTCAGTCACAGTAAATGCATGAGTACGTACTCGCATGGAAGCTCGAGGAAGAATGGATTTACACTGCTCGTGACATTTGAAATTGTTTCAAATTACACTTGCCTAAAGGCTCTTGCTTATACCAATTTCAAAACATTTTAACCCGTCTCGAACATAATTTCCCCCTCCCTCCTACCCCGTTGCCGCCGAAGTCTGAATTGGAACTTTATCGCTGAAGTTGTTACTTTGTTTTCAACATATTATGTTGACCTTTTTGGTTATCCAGTCATCTCTTGACTACAAGTCTTTCAAGTTGCAGCCAGTTCGGAATGTAGGCAGATCATATAACGCTTTACTCGACACAATTTTGCTTTCAGTTTCGGTTGATTTGAAAAAAAGAAAAATTCACACTTTTTTTGTCTCTCTCAGGCGATAAACAATACGTCAGTGAAGAAAATAGAGACTGTCAGGATCAAGAGTTTCATATCCCTACACGGAAACCATGTCTCGTCATCTTGCTGGCTCTGCAATTGCACAGGGACCCAATGTTGGTCGGATTGACCGGTGGCTACAGTGGAAACCAACTTCTATGAAAACCCAGTGGTTGCTTCTCTCAGGTGCTTCAGATCCTCCAAGCCGCATTAGTATTTCTGATAGAAGGACCAAGAATGCTCCTGGAGTCAAAGGCGGCACATTTCTTGCCGGTGTTACCCATGATTTAGCGAACATGGAAGCTGCAGTTGGAGCTAAGTTGTTCAACACTGTTAAAGATCTTTATCAAACCAAGTCCGCAGCCCTTAGTCATATTCGGAGACTTTTTGAAACATGCAAACTGCTTGGGCTTAAACCTATGTTGTACTACACTGGGCATGGAGAAATTGGGACTGGAGACTGGTGCTTTGCTGATGGGACAATCAGCATTGAAGAAATTCTTGATATCCTTCCTGAACGAACACTTTTGCCGATGATCTTCAGCGATGCTTGCTACAGTGGCCACTGGGTAAATTTCTGCCTTGAAGAGGACATCCCAGGATTCCACTGCCTGGCAGCATGTCCGGAGTATTCTAAAGCTTTTGATGCCAAAGGTTTGTAAAGTATTCAATTTAATTCCTACAATTCTGTTTAGGTTAAGAAATTAAGATCTCTAAATTTACTCATATAATGGTCCGTACGTCCCTTAGACAGGCTAGATATTATTCAGAGCTTTTTCTCACGGCAAAACCACAGCATTTATGAAATCAGTGCGTTCAAAATGCAAAGAGTAAAACTTTAAAAGTCGGAAAACCTGAACGCATTATCTAATTGATTTTTCAAATACTTCTTAGGCGAAGGTGGAGATTTGACTTTGTTCATGACTGGAAAGAAACCATGTCCTAGAACTGAACCTATGTACAGTGGAGGAAACAGGAGCGATTTTCCGATTACGATTGGCTATGACTCAGTTGAGTACATTGATTTGATCGGCAGCCATGTAACTGAATATGATGAAAATATTTTGATCTGCCAAAGTTTCCATAAAGGATGCTTTATTGGATGTTTTGCACCTTCAGAAAGGTACAGTCCAACGTTCGCCGTTTCCTGGACGATTCGAAAGGACTATGATTCCTTCCTTGAGCTGGTCAGAAAAACTTGGAAAGGGAAGAATGGTACGTCAGAACAAATATATTCTCTTACTTGCGATGAGAATTTAGGATTTGGAGTATTTTTCATGCAAAATTATGGCAGGGATCAATGTATTGTAACGAACTTATCTCATATATATGAGAGATGGAAAGAGGGCTTTGAAATCACGTCATGTGCTGCCTGGGGTTCAAATATTTATATTATTATGACAAAGGACACAGAGGAATACCGTGGCAGACATCAGATATGGTTCATTAGTTATACCTGGTGGGAGACATACAGTAAAATAAATGCACAGTCCAAAGTGGGATACACTGTAACAGGTATATGTTACTGCACTGGACTGAGGCAGTATTTTGTTGTAATGACAAACATACCGGAGGTCCAGAGCAGCCACTATTTTGATGACACAACTGCAGTATTCAACTGGATGAATGAGCAACATCATGTGGGATATCATCCAACAGTCATCTTCATGGATCCAACTCTTGATAAAACTCTTGTTGTAATGACTACAGATGAAAATAGATCGAGCTATGAGTTTATATTTGACTGTAAACTTAAGTAGGCTGTTACCTTCCTTAGTTTAAAAAGCAGTTCCAAGAGTATTTTTGTATTACGACGGAGGTGTTTGAAGAGCAAAAGTGATATACCCCTCCGCACTGAAAGTTCAAATTTCGGGTTAATTTTGATAGTTAAAGTTACATATATATATCTGATGGATATTCCAAAAACATGCCCGTAGATTTTAACCCCATCATTCATGCAACCTGCTACCGGTATTTTGTTTTTTCTTTTGTTTTGTTTTTGCTTCCTAATGGCAGCAGCTTGTAAAGCTCACCAAGCACGAAATGTAGAGAATTTCTTGGGCTGAGCATGTTTCATTTGTTTCACCATTTTTGTTATTACGAGACTTTAGATTTGAGTACTAGTACGAGGTCGAGTACGACAAGGACTTTTCAATTCTAATTTCCAGGCTCCACATTATCCCATGAGCTACCCTCTCTATCTAAAACAGACACGAAGAGCGAGGGCTCTGGAAACGTCACTGGTTTGAAATTCGAAAATCGCACTCGTACTCAATCTCGTACTCTGTAGTCCAATCAAAAGGTCCCTATTATTATTATTATTATTATTATTATTATTATTCTTATGATTATCATCATCATCATTATTATTTTTAGTATTATTTATCGCTACCCTCCTCATATTTCAATTGGTGTTTAGTTTAGCCCAGGCTACACTCGTCTGAATTTTAGTTTGCACGGTGACTTGTGGAAGGAGCTGATCTCATTAGCTTTTTAAAACTTCCGTCTAAAGGAAGCCTGCCGGAGGACATTATGCCATTAAGTCCAATGAACGTGCAAGTCTAACGATTTGCTAGCAAGCGTCGTCCATTATCGTACTTGAAACGGCCCTGAGACGGTAACGGGTCGCCATTTAGTCCGAGGGGGGGTACTCCCAGAAAAATTTGGTGAGGCTGCGCGGCCCGCTTCCCAAATCCCTTACCCTATTTATGATCAAAATCTGCGATTTTCTCTACCCTATTTACGACCTGACCAAAAATTCGATATCCTGTAGATGACAGTTGCGGCTGACACAGTTGCCCTAAACATAAGTTTTGAAGGGCTTTTGCTTATGGTGTTATCGATAATGACGAAAAAGTAGCTTCTTCCAAACAACATACCCAATTCATCTTCACAAAAGCATACCCTATTTAAGACCAAAATGGCCAAAATCGATACCCTATTTATGAGCAAAACGGCTGAAAAACCATACCCTTTAGGGCCGCACATACCTATATAGCCCACATGAGGTAGTACCCCCCCGGACCATTTAGCCTCGTAATTTTGGCCAGTTGCGCATGCATGGTGGTGATAATGCTGTGTGTGCTTTAGACAGCAAAGAACTTTAGCCGCATTAATTAGGGGCTTAGAGGTACAATGGACTAGAAATTTCTAGCTGCTGTTAGCGTTATTTGGTCCGAACTTTGGTGTGGCTTGAGACTTAGCAAAAACATATCTGTTATATGTTGAAACGGCTACGTTCCCGCTCGATGAAACTCAAGTGAATCCGAGCAAAACATGACCACGAACAGTGTCAAGGGCTGATGTGAGTAGCATCTCTTTGATTTTATCAATTTTAGGTGCTCTCGCCTTTGTTAGTAGCTAACAATCAGAGCTATCCGTTATTCGCTAGCGCGGAAGAGATTTTGTGCTTGGTTTCAGGTCGATAATTGACGTATTAAAACAAAATGCATAGTTTTCGCTAAGTCAGATTTATGGCCTAGTTTGCTTGAAGTTCAATCGATTTCCGATTTAGGGAGCTCTTGCTCAGTCTATTTAGGACGATGCTATAGATCAGTTCTCCGCCGCGGTTTGGATATGTGTAAGTTTGTGTTGATTTAGACTCGAATGTACTATTCATGATTCAAAGTAAAGACCGCAAATTTAGTCTTCCTGGTCTCAGAAGGCATACAGGAGAGTTATTTCCTCTTATTTGAGTTATGATAAGCCTTGTGAAAAGCTTGCTCTAAGACAGAAGTGTATCGAGATTATCAGTGACAAGTCAAATTCTGTGGCTATGTTTTTGCGAATACAGACAGATATAATTTTTTATTATACTGACATCTATTAGTTCTTGAACGGTGTGAGCCGTGAGATTCTCAAGAACGAACTACAAACCCTAAGAACAATAACGTTCCTACATGGCCAGGAATGTTCATGTTCAACCAATATATAAATCAAGATAGGTAATTGCCAATAGATAATAAAACAAGAATTAGGTGTAGGTTACATTGAAGCTTGTGGCTGATTTATGGCCGGCTAAAGTCATTCCTGGAAAAGTTGGGATCTTATAGTTCAAGGCAATTTCAAAAGGACAACATGACAAAGTTCTTTTTACGGCATGCAACACCCGCTTTTGTTTGTTAAATGACCCATCAGACTGGTTGAAAATCGCGTGACGGTTAAATGTTACAATTGACTTAAACGGTGTGTAGTGTTCTCTAGCTGTATTATGCTGTAATTATTTTCTTAAATATTTCTCTTATTTATCTTTCATTCTGTTGTTTATATAATGACCTTAAAACCCCAAAGGTAGAGCCACTGCATTTGGTCGGGGGTACACTGTCCCATTTTTCCTAATAAGAGGTTTTTGGGGTTTACGTGTCCGGCTTTGGCGCATGCAGGATGTTATTTGATGTATCTTTTATACATCCACTTTGTTGTAACCTTATTGTGTCAATTAAAACATATATCTTTATGGGCCTCGTTGACCAACGCGCCCATGCCTCATAACCTTTGAGTGTGTAGTGTGACACAACCTTCGGTTGTGTAGTGAAGGCAAAATAGAAATATTAAAGGCTTGTAATGTTTCTTTGCAGCAAGGGAGTATGATTTATTCTTGTCGGGAATGCAGGGGGGTGGGGGGTAGGGGAGACACCATTCACTCTTTCTATTGTCTGTGAGCTTCTCAAAAGTAGCTACCATGGGTGAGTCAATCAGCCTGTGTCCAGGCTGGTATCCGACAGGTCCTAAGTAATTGCAGTTACATCCTCACTACGTACTCATTACCTTATCGCTCTAGGCTATAGTCCGCGACTACTGAGGCAATAGCTATGCAATAGCGACCGCGAAACTGAGTTCTAACATAAAATTTTGTTCTCTCGAGTTTTCTCCTGCTGTCTTGACGACTCAAGAGGAAGCATGATGGTTTGTGATTAATCGTGTCAACTGCTAAGACATTTTACAGAGACTTGATACCTGAGTCCTGAGTGAGGCTGGTAAAATTGAATATACAATCGCTACTTCGCTTTCTGTGAGCTCGTAGTGTTGAAAAGACAATGACTTCACTTTACATTCAGCGAAGTATAATTGATGTTTTTGATATTTACATTTTTTGTAAGTTTATCTACAGCTACACATCTACAGGCGCGGTAGTGCGCTCGTCTCCGGATCGAGCGGTCCGGGTTCGAGCCTAGGACCGTTGTGTTGTATTCTTGGGCAAAACGCTTCACTCTCACAATGCCTCTCTCCACCCAGGTGTATAAATGGGTACCAGCGAATTTAATGCTGGGGTGTAACCCTGCGATGGACTAGCATCCCATCCAGGGGGGAGTAGAAATACTCCTAGTCGCTTCATGCTACAGAAACCGGGATAAGCTCCGGCCTAATGGGTAACTTGGCTCGTATTGCAGACTTTACCTTTACAGACGCCAGTCACACCAGGAGAGTGTCAGGAAAGTTATGTATCATTGTATTGTGTTTCCGTCTGGTTTATGAAGAATTCTGCTGGAATACGAATACCAATGATGCAATCTGATAGACCAAGCTATCGCACACTGACATGATTATATTTTTCTCGGGCATATGGACCGATAATTGCCCTCAGGAAATTTTGTTCTAAAAAACAAAAATGTAGTTTAATGATGACATAAAATTTCCAAAGGCAATTATCAGCTCATAGGCCCGAGGCGAAAACACTCTATTGCCTTTATTACCTTAAGTGCTCACCAATAACTGTTCCAGTTGCATGCCTGAAAACAAGACAAAATGCTAAAGAAACTACACTATTAAACCGTTTGCATTGTTTGCGTATTTTGCAAAGCGGTCCCAGGTCGTGGAGTGGCCTGAAGAGGTACAACGGAAACTGGGATTTGCCTATTTGTTTCACTGTGAAAATGGGATTTGGGATGGGAAATGGGATTAACTCCCCCTCCCCCCCTCTCCGTCGGGATTCTCCTCATCGTTTGATTGACTTCTTTGCTTATTATTTAATTTGCAACAGACTGCAGCACATCTGAAATTCAAAAGACACTTGCACTATATGTGCACAACTGTCATTTTACTTTTTAAACGTTTATAAAAAAAAAGTAATAGTTCAGCAATTCCTAATTCTCCAACTGCGAAACACTTAACTGGAATCCCGCATTCAATTGCAATCTCGTGAAGGTCTCTCAACTCTTGATTCCTGATCTCGTGACTACAAGTCATTCAAGTTACGTTCAGTTCGGAATGTAGGCTGATTATAGAAAGCCTTTCTCACACAATTTTGCTTTCAGTTTCAGTTGATTTGGAATTTGCGTTCAGAACACTACCAAACGAAACGAGAGAACTTCAAAGGCTCTTGAGTGTCCTGAGATTTAACACAGAGAGATTGTAAGTATGTACAAGTTATATCTGTTAAACCCTTTGCAAATTTTATCAAAATAATTGTAGAACTCGGATTTGAACTAATGCGAATACGATAATGAATGTGCCGGGTTGACCAAACTTATACTTGTTGTGTGTCTCTGGGATAAGAGCGGGGAATTCTGTCAGATAATCATATTCAGTCAAAATTAATTTACCTTCATTTTAGTAAATACTCTGGTCCCAGAGGTTTTTCTTGATTTTTCCCCGCATGAGAGGGCTGCGAGAGAGCCGCGAAGCGGTGAAAACACGAGTCGCGAAGCGGCGAGAAAGAAAAACCTCTCTCGCCGCTTCGCGACTCGTGTTCGCCGCTTCGCGAAAAGAAGAAAAATCAAGAAAAACCTCTGGGACCAGGGTATTTAGTAAATTTCAAATTGTAACTTACAGTAGCCTGCGAACAGACTCCCGGCGATGACGCAAAAAAATTTCGGCGAGCGCGAAACAGAAGAATTCGGAGAGCGAAGCGATCGGGGCGGGAAAGGGCGCTTCGTTCGGGCGCTCACCGGGAGCCTATTCGCAGGCTAAACTTACAGTAGTCGGCAAACCGCTAAATCAATGCCCTTCTTCTCGCGTAAGGGGACTTTGTCGCACAATGCTGGCTTAAATTCCTTAATCTGCACTGACACTCACTGAAAAAAACTCTACTATTATGACTTGCTGCACTAGTAGAAAAGCAGCAGGCAAGAGCAAGAATGGTTAATCCTTCATTAATTTCCGCCCTGCGGTAAACTTACAAACTCTCCTTACTTGTCTCTATATAATTCTAATGGTGCAAGTTGGGATTTACATATTTGCGTTCAGAACATTACCGGAAGAGACGAGAGCACTTTAACGACTCTTGAGTGCCTGATATTTAACACAGAGCGATTGTAAGTACGTAGAAGTTCGGTTTACTTGTTTAACGTCTTTTGCAAATTTTGTTAAACTTATTGTAACTTATGGTAGTCGCTAAACCACGAATGTTCCTTGCTCTTCTGCAAGTGGATTTTGTCTCGGTTATTTCGTTTCGCTCGTCTCGCTCGCTTGATTTCGCTCGTTTCGGTGATTTTGTTTGGTTGTTTCGGATTCTACGTGCAGTACATACCATCAAATTAAACTGGCGTACTTCTGACATGGTGGTTTCCTTGCTTTCCTTTTAAAGAGGTCAGTTGTGCGTCTTCAAGTCACTTCGCCTGAAACTCGACATTTTCAAGAACAAAGTTTTTGGCCAGCACTTGTCTTGAAACAAAGAAACTCGGCCGGACCTGTTGTTTGTTGCTAGCAAGACATCAATTCCGTAAGTTTCCACTAATTTAA